CTTATGGACAATATCCTTAAACTGCTAAATACCTGTCAATCAATAGTAAAACAGAAAGCTCTTGTTTTCAAAGAAATTATTTATTACTTATTTGATGGCAACTCATTATTAGAAACTCGGCATAATAGAAGTTGCTGTATTTGCTGGAAAATGAGAATTTTCCCTTGTGTTTTGTGTTTTTACAAAGCAAAGAATCACATAAACTTGCAAAGGGACCCTAATTGAAATGATAACTATTGTTCCATTAGGTTGAAAACAGGCATTAATTCTGTTTAGTGTGATGTTATTTTTTTTCTTTCTTTGAGATACAGACACCACCAACACCTGGAATACCATCCATTAAGCCTTATTAGGGATATACAATACTTCATATGGCTTATTCAAAACTGTCAAAAAATAAATATTTTGTACAATATCTCTGGCTAATATTATTTTTTCTGATTGTAAGGCATATTGTCTTGTAGCAACTATTGAGTAACCCGTGCAAAAGTTGTTGCAAAACACAGTAGTGACAATCTACACAATCAGTAGAAATAAAAAGTCATGGTTTGTGTTTTAAAGGACTCCAACTTTTTAACTTTTTATTTCTATTCAAGATGAGCAATCTGCTAGCTTTGTTTAAAGTTTGGAGGAATCAAGAGTTGGTAATATTAATACAGGAGTCATTAAAAATTTATTTTAGGCCATTAGAAAGGGTAAAATAGTTCTCGGTGAATTTTTCCTTTAATAAAAAGCAGCCCCCAAACCATTTGTTTTCTAACAAAAAGGAGCCTGAGAAATCAAGTTGCAAGCATAGATATGCAAGCTAGAGGCTCGCATATGTAAAGTTAGCAGCTGTACCTGGAAGCCAGGCACATTCAATATGGCAATTCCCGCTCCCTTTTCCTTGTCACCAGGTGTGTGGGTGTCATGGTACCAGTCAAGTAAAGCCACGTGTGCAAGGTCATGGTGACAGCCAGGTAGAAACTGCGTTTGCATAATAAAAGATTAGGGTGGGAGGGCCAGTCTTTTCACTGGCTGTGTAAATAGTACACCTGGTTAAACCAATCCCCTGGGCTCTATGTAAATCAATCACCACCTCCTCAAGCCTCTGTATAAAATCCATCAAATCTTGCCCCAAACCTGGAGAACCCTCTCTTGAGCAACTCGCTTTCTCAACATGTGTAAGCTTTCTTGTTCTCTTCTTCTTTATCTATTAAACTTTCCACTCCTAGACCCACTCCTCTTGTGTGTCTGTGTCCTGAATTCTATCTTGGCATGAGACAATGAACCATGGGTATTTCCCCAGAATATGGAGCTGTTTCAATATTATTCACGGAGGAAGAACCTTCCACATGTCCACTTCCTTCTCTCATATTTGGTCCAGGAGATGAAAGAGAATAGGTTCTGCACGAAGTTAAAGAGACACATCACAGCAAAACATGTGGGGGTAGCCATGGTTATACCTACCCATCAATTGGTTACCACAGAGAGACCTAGTTTCTTTTTTCTGTTTATGCAACATCCAAAAGAGACCAAAGAAGTTTAATTCAATCTCATTTCAATACTGTGGCATCAGTAATCTGAGACCAAGAAACTTTTAAATGCACCCACCTGAGATGACAGCCTTATGTAAAGAAGAAAATTAATTATATAGCAGCATGGTATAGTAAGAGAAATTTTTTTTGAGCCAGATAAAATGGAAACTGGGCTTTGTCTCTTACTTGTGGGATGACCTTGGGCAATTTACCAAATTCCTCATCTGTATATGGGAGTTATCCTTCTTCATATAACAGGGAGAATGAGACTCACTTCATGAGTTGTACCCATCAGTGAGAGGGGACACATATAGTGCCTACACAAATAGTGCCTACACATACTCAATGATAATTAGTTCCTTTCTTTTTTCCCATCACCCATTGCCATTTTTTTGTTTTTAATCCAAGATTTTGGGGCTTTCTTCTGAGGTAAAAATTCTTCTTCTTCTTCTTCTTCGTCTTCGTCTTTGTCTTCGTCTTCTTTTTTTTTAGATGGAGTCTTGCTCTGTTTTCTAGGCTGTAGTGCAGTGGCACAATCTCGGCTCACTGCAACCTCCACCTCCTGGGTTCAAGCAATTCTCCTGCCTCAGCCTCCCAAGTAGCTGGGATTACAGGCGTCCACCACCATGCCCAGCTAATTTTTGTATTTTTAGTAGAGATAGGGTTTCACCATGTTACCCAGGCTGTTCTTGAACTCCTGACCTCATGATCTACCCACCTTGGCCTCCTAAAGTGCTGGGATTACAGGCGTGAGCCACTGTGCCAGGTTGGTAAAATTTCTTTCTTGTATTCTGAATATAGGAATTCAATCAGAGATGTTAAAACAAAGAAAGATGGTACTCTCTGGTATGTTTAAACCTCATTCTATTGCATGAGTGCCCACTAAAAATAATTACAAGCCATTCATGAAATCAAGGTTGGTTGGGAATATTGGACTCCTATACACTGTAAATGGTATCTTTGCCCCTCTTCAGTCCCAAACTAATACTAGAAGCAAGGTGTTTTAATATCTAGGAGAATGTTTCCAAATTATTGTGGGGAAGCTAATAATACATTGTGATCATCGCACATGGTGGTTTGCTGTAAGTGACAGCTGAGGGGATGTCAGCAAGCAGTATTAAGCAAATTTGATGCTGGTGATAAAACACGGTTGTACCAACAACAGCTGTGTCAGCTTACAAGAGAGTAGGGCAGAAGCGCTGGGTAACTGTTGAAAAAGAAAGAAATTGTGCAAACTGAAAAGTCTCAGAAGCACTTAGATGGCTTGGTAAGTTGGTTAGTCCTGTCAAATACTATCAAGACCACCCTTGTATTCAAGGTCACAAGATGCATAGACTTTTTTTTTTTTTTTTTTTAAAAGAAAAGGCAATGACCTAAGCTAATTCAGGGAAAAATCTGTAGCTCCCATAACACAGTCTCCTATTGAAGAATTCAGTACTGATTAGTACCTGTCTCATCCAAAGGTTTATCATTAGAAGTACCAGAAGATCGAGTAGCATTTATACCTTTATTCCAGTCTCCTGAAAAAAATTTAGAAGGTTCTGCTTGAGAAATGTTGGTAGTGGATTTCATAATAAATCAATACACTCAAGTTTAGGCCCATATAAATTCCCAACTAGTGATCAGTTCCTTGCTTCTTAGAGTAACAGCAAATATATGACAAAAGCAATGTATAAAATTCTATCCAAGAACAAATTTGTGATGTTTGAAAACAATCCTTTGTCATATTGACAATATAGATTTAAATATAGCTTTATATAATAAGTTGGTCAAGGTAAAGTCAGAAAGGATGTGAACTGAGAGGACTGCAGAAGGTTCTGTTAAGGAAAAAAATCCAACTTCCTTTAGCTGATATACCCAAAGATGAGTGTATTCAAAACACAATTCATTTTTTTTTCAGAACAGAGTTGACTTCTTTGTGGAAAGTATTTTTGGATAAAAAGAGAGCCTATATACCCGGGGAAAAAAAACCTCTCAACATTTTTTAGTTACATGAAGAATTACGTGAAGCACCTAGCATATTCAGTGTGTCACTAACTCAATTAGTCTTTTGGCAACTGACTTGTGTCCCCCGACCCCCCTTGCCCCATATGGCTCTGTTTTGAAAAGAATTACAGTCATGCATCATTTAATGACACAAATACATTCTGAGAAATGTGTCATTAGGCAATTTCATCATTGTGTGAACATCAGAGTGTACTTACACAAACCTAGATGGTGTAGGTAGCCAACTACACACCTAGGCTATATGGAATCCCTGTTGCTTCTAGGCTACAAACTTGTACATGTTACTGTATTGAATACTGTAGGCTATCATAACACCATGGTGAGTATTTGTGTACCTAAACATATCTAAACATAGAAAAAGTAGAGTAAAGATACCATACTATTAATATAATCTTTTGGGACCAATGTCAAATATGTTGTTCATTGTTGACTAAAACATCATTATGTGTCATATAACTATCTCATTTTCTAGTTATTCTCTTACTCATCTACAATTTTCAATTATTTGAAGAAAACATCTTAAATATGTTACAAATGTGCAGAAATAGTTCTTTTTCCCATTCTTACAGTTTTGCTTTTACGTTAACTCACTAGAAGTTAAAATTAAATGTTAAACTAGAAGTCAGAACGAAATATATCTAGTTTCACCTTCATCTCAACTGAACCAAGGTTTAACTTTAAAAAAAAAAAAACATATTAACAAGAATATAGTATGGTTGTCCTCCAGGGACCCAATCCCAGCAAAGAAATTTGTGTACCTCTTTCTAAGGAATTCTGTGAAGCAGATTTGTTCAGGCCAGCCAGTGACCTGAGGCAGCAGAATGAGCCCTGTCTCTGGAAACCTGAATTCTAATCTTGATTCTTTGACTGACTTGCCTGGGTTTTAAGATTTTTAGGTAATTTGTCCTCTCAGCATCAGTTTTCTTAATGAAATAAATGCAAAGGCTATCCTGATTTCTAAGGCCTCTTCTGGTATGCCAATGTATTGGTATACTTAAGATTAGAGGCTTTATTTGGATGAAATCAGTATTTAACTTTTCCCAAATTTTCAGTGTTTTCACTGGGTTCACACTGAGGGCTTTACTCTTTTTTCCTTCATAGAGATACCAGATCCCCTTCCTTCTTTGGTTAAGTCCAGCGGAATTTTTTCTTAACTCTCTTCCTAAGACTTGTTTACTTCACTCCTTTCCTGTTTCATGGTGTTTCCTTCACTTTACTTTCTCTCTGAAATATTTTAGAGCCTATTTTTAGCATATTTCATTCCTGTGACTGCTACTATATCTAAAGTTGTATTTTATTATTTTTATATAAAAGAAACTTTCAGCAGCTCTATTTCTGCTTTATTCATTTCAACTCCTCTTACTTGGCCCTGCACTAGAGTGCATTCAATGCTTAAATGCATTTTTGGTTACTACAGTGTGTTATAATCCAGCCTTTTTTCATTGCCTTTAAAAAAATCCACATGAATCTAGGAAGTTATTGGTATAATAAATCTTTAAAATTGTAGTTTTAAAAGCACAAAATGAGCTGAAACAGTGTTCATACCTAGAATTAAATAAGCATTTGAAGCCCTCTTCTTCCTCACTTAAATTTTTTTCCACTGATTCAGATTGGGAAAAACCATTATGTAATTTAGATCAAAATGCTGCCATCAAGCAGGGTTACAGGCAGTAGATCAATCCCATTTCAAACTGTTAGGTAAGTATGCATGTAGTCTGGAGGGATTTCACAAACGTGATAGCTGTGGGCATCCGAGGTCTTCTAGCCATAAGAACTCAAGAAATTTTTGTTTGATGAAAAAATCTCCAAATAAAGGACTAAGTTAAGTTCTCGTTGATCATTCCTACTTGTGGGCCAGAAGAGCTGATTATTATCAAACACAGTCATTGGGAATACCCTCAAGCTTTCTCAAGTCCTTCTGTCTTCATTTCCGGTTACTTGTTAGCTTCATAGGGAAATTTGCAGGATGAGTTCTAGCACAGGGTGGAAAGCCGGCAATTCAAAAGGCTACCCAGTTCTGAAGAAGGATTTCAGTCCAATGTTGGACTGTTTTCCTGAGTTATCTTTTGGTATTCCAAATATTGTGATTTATAAAAAATCTTCCATTCAAATTCTATTAAAATTGAAAATTTAAACTACCGCTGAGAAATATAGTTAACAAGTTCAGTGTTATTTTCACAGTATTTAATGCATTTACTATATAAAAACATGAATTCCATTTCAGGCTTCATAATATTTTTCAAATTTCCACTTTTGATATGGCTTCACTGGGTCACAGACAGCTACTTTCAGGATCTTTTGAGAAAAATTACCTTCCAAGCATAATAATTGCTGATTGTTTTCAAAAACAATGTGATTCACCTGGAGAGAAAGAGGATCTGGGAATGAGGTTGAATTTGATAACTGCGATATAAAGAAATGAAAACCAATTTAAAAAAAACTGACAGGCAGTTATATTTTTGATTTTTAAGAACTCTTCTGAACTAAATTATTAACATAAACACAGACTTTGAAAAGTATTAAATTTGTCTCTGTCTCAGACTAAGTAATCATCCTCCTCCAAGCTATAAGACTTTTAAGTCCTCAGGAGGCAAAATAAAAATTTTTTGATGATGTGGCTGAGAACTATATACGCTTTAAAGAGAAAACATTACAGATGACATTTATTGGATTTGATAGATGATAACTACTTCATTGACGGTAAAGAAAAAATACATACCGCAACAAAAAGTTAATTAATTTTTAAAGTAGGTGTCTTTGTGAATTTGGATTACAAAATTCTGGAAGTGATGTATTTTATTTATGAGCTCTTTACCATAATCTCTGACAATTCATAACAACTGATGTCCAAATATTAAATAAAGTTCTATTATTGCTTAATATTTAGTGAATATCCTAGAAATGGTAAATAAATTACATAGAACTTACTCACGGCTTATATATTTTTTTATCTATAAATTCTCTCAATTACTTATTACTATGACAAAGACGATCTTAATTACACATGTTGTTTTTAAACCTTAATAAGTTATCAAAAAGGGGTGACTTTCATAATAATTTATTTTAAAGATCGTTCCTACAAAAGTATCGTCATCCTTGCAGAATTTTGGAAATATGATGCTTGAATATTGTCAAGGATTTGTAAAGAAGTCTCATTTTATACTTCTCTTGTTGTTTAAGACTTACATGTACTGGGGGACCTAGGAGGTATAGCATGAAAACTACTGAAAAACTGAAAAAAGAAGAAAGCTGATCACCAAGCTACTAATCTCCAGGACATTTGGTAACATCAAAAAGGAAACCCAAGACAGAAGGCAGCTGTGTCAAATGTCACAAAGTCATAGGTACAAACAAGGTAGGGAAAAGGTTTTCCAATTTTTGCTATCTTAACGAAATTACCTCCTTTACCAAATCAGCTTACTGCTTAAGAGAAATTGCTATGCTTGAACTCTTTTCCAAGATTCAATTCTGGAGATGAAGAATGTGTTTTAGTTCTCGTTCTTATTCATATTCTCTCTCTCTCTTACTCACTTTCTCTCTTTCTCTCCTTATCCCACTCCCCCTTTCTCCTTCCCTCCCTCCTGATTTTGGCACAGGGAGAAGGTAAGATGTAAGTTATTCACTACACTGCATGTATATGGATTTCCTAACACTATGCAAAAATAAAATTAGCAGCATATATGCTAATAATTCTTAATCTTTCTGAATAACTCAATAATAACCATTATTACTAAAGAGAAAAAAACTGTCCAGAAAGAATTGAAATACAACAGAGAGGATCTAATGGGAGAAAGGCTGGAGAACACATTACCTAGGCCCCAGTTTTGGCCCTGAGCAGGAAGAAAAATGTTGAGAAGAGAATAGTCATTGGCTGTGTTGTTAAAAGGAACGGAGCTACCTCGAGGAAGAAAAGGTGCTTACTTTAGGGATAGCCCTGGGCAAATTGAGAGTCTCCAAATACCCAGATATTTACTGTAGACAGTAGATTTGGTGGCTACCTGCTAGAGAGATGGTAGAAAATTTAAGAAGGCAGTTCTAAGACTATTCTCGCCAACCTTAAGCTCCTACACCAAGGCTTATGACTCCATATTCTGTTAAAATGTAATTGGGAAAAATGGAGAGGACTTTTGAGAATGAATACAGTAGACCAGGAATGTTCTGGTAAACAGAATAACTGGACCTTCAGAAAAGTATCCCTGATCCAGTAACATCTTCCAATTTTTGTGGTATAAATACTCCCAATATGGCCAGTTTCAAGCTACCAATGTGGTAGGATTGAATGCAAAGTTAGCAAGTGTACACACAAGCGGCTCCAGCGAGCTGGTGAAAGCTGGGTCCAGCAGACCGTTAGAAGCCCCGGTCTCTGGGTACCGTAGGGGATGAAAAAGTCTCCTTCTATGGAAAGGGGGCAGAATGAGGAACCAGATTCATTCTAAAGTGCAGGACTTGTAGGAGACATGCGGCTTCCTGTGCTGCCCATATCCTCTCCTTACAAGCATTTCTGATAACGAGTGGGAACCAGTTCTAGCCTTTAAGCCTAACTTTTGGTGTTGTCGATTGACTGAAGCAAATGATAGCAATGTAACTACAAGAACTTGGTGACTTCTATTTAAAATAACCCATTTGAAATAAATTTTGAAAAAGAAAAAAAAAGGACTTGCCAACTTTCAAAAGATACCCATGTATCTCTGTGAGTGAGCTTTTACATAATCCCATTGTCACAAACACACAAAACTTCTGACTGAGGAAGCTGATAATGAAAATTTTATGTCCTATTTGATCAAAAGTCATATTTGTGGTAAAGAAGAGGTACCGATCTTTTGCTTACCAGTTCTGGATGAAAGACTGATGTTGATTTATGCAGCCATTTTAGCTCTTTGTTTCTGTTATCACAAGGGTGCAGGCTTACGCCTCCTTTATCAGGGGTGGGGGCTATACACCATTCTCCACATTTGATAAGTCTTAACCAGGTGTAATTAAATTGTTGAAGCTGTGGGGGAAATGAATAAAGGGTCACTTTAGGCAGCAGACACAGGCATGGGCTTTGTCAAACATTTTTGTTAGCAATAGTTAAGAATATAGGAACTATGATCTGACATTTTAGATTCAAGTCCTGGTATTATCATTTGTAATTCTGATAGTATGGGCATATTATTTACCCTGTCTAATCTTATTTTTCTAATTTTTAAGTTGGACAGCGATTATATCTATCTCAGAGGGTTGGGGTAATGACTATCAAGTGTTTAGCACCCAATAAGCCTTCAATAAATGTTAGTTACAATAATAAAATTATTTAGTGAAATTAGTTCTGTCTGCATATGGATGTCATTTCAGTGTTCTGAATCCCAAACAAGCCTGGTGCTTAAAGAATTGGAATGTTCAGTCTACTACATGATTAAGGTTCTAAACCACGGGTGGCTATAGGGAGATAACAGTCACAGCCCTAAATTTCTTGGGTGGATTTTTGATGCTTCCTTGTATAAAACTATCATAAAGGCTTTGTCCAATTGTGGAAAAGGTGGAAGTCTTTCTTTGCTACTAGCACGAGGAATCATCAGGTTGCTACCAGGTTGGCATCCCCCAGTTCATAGAAACTGCTCTTGGAGAAGTTGCCAGTGTCTAAAATAAGCACCAATTCTGGTAATGAAACTACGTTTTTAACCTTAAATATTTTTCTTCAGTTGTTTACAACCTAGTATTATCTGCCTGGTCAATTTACTCTAATGCTCTGGGTCTGTGGGAAATTTATTGTTTTGTACTAACATAAACATATTTCAAAAAATAGGCTTCTGGTAAAATCTATCTAAACCTTTACCTCATGAATCATTTGTATTGTAACTGAAGTTCAACTTTGATGATCAGGTTAGATCAAAGTCATTGTGTTGGAACTTGACATTGGAATGGTGGTCCTTGGACCAACATCCACATCACCTGGGAGCTAGTTAGAAGTGCTGAGTCTCAACCACATCACGGACCTACTGATTCAGAACCTGCAGTGTAGCAAACTCCCTAGGTGATTTGTAGGAACATTAACATGTAGGAAGCATGGAAGTATGGCATAATATAAGGAAGTTATGTGCTACTAAGAGAAGCTAGATGTTACCTTGGAAAAATATGTTTCAACTGCTTGAAAGGTTAATAACCGAGGAGATATTTTAGGTAGAAGGTAAAGGGATAGAGCTGGATGATTCAATCTAAGGGTCTTATTTTTGTTGAGCCTTTTTGGATGAATGTTGTAGTCATTGGCTTGGTATTAAGCCTCATTAATTCTGCCGAAAATGAGTTAACTTCCTCCACATTTCTTTACTTTTTATTACCCAAGCAAACTATGAGAGGCAGAAGCTAAAAATGAGCAACGAGACTAAAAGATGCTGGGGCTTTGTGGAAGGTGAAGGCTGAATAATTTATACTTTTGCCTCCCAGCATCCAATTGAGAAAGACTCAATGGTCATCAAGAATAGAACTTGGGTTTTCAGATAAAATACTGGTTACTCCGGCACAAAAAGTCCCTGCAATGATCATTCCCCCCTCCCCCAAAAAAATGCATTATTTAATACTTTTCCTTTTATATAATGTGAAATAACTGTGGTTTTGTTTTTACAATTTATGACTTTATTTCCTCTTTGTTAGTAACTGAAAGTTATTTCTTTTAATGGGTTTTAACACTTTTTCACTTCCCTTTGACTCTTTTCTTTTCTAATTAAAAAAGAGTGGCCTTGGCTTCAGGTTTACAATTCATAGCTAAATATAGCAACAGAGATACCTTTTCTTCTAGTAGCAGCTTTGAGTTAAGAGGTAGAGATGGGATGCACCAAAAAATATAAACAGTATCTTGAAGTCAAAGCAAAGATGTAAGACTTGACAAGCCTAGATTACCATTGCAAAATAATCTCTGTACCAAAGAACAATCTGCAATTTTGGGAACTGATTTCTACTCGTGAATCTATTTTCCTCTGAGTCCTACTTGCCACTCAAACCAATAACTGTTTCCACAAACACAGAACTGTTAGGGAATGTATGTTAGTGAGGGAAGTGTAATCACTCAGAGCTCACCTCCAGCACTGTGGAAGGAGTCTCTATTCCCTGCTTCCTGTCCCTACTCCCTCTACTAACCATTTCGCTCTGAGTTTGTGGAGTTTTCCTATAGACGTTTCTACCATGGATCATGGATTTGGTTATTTCCATTATTCCCTTAAAATGCGGGAGAATGAGGGGAAAGGGGAATGGAATCAGAGAAGAAGACCGCTTCCTTAGAATGATTATTTAGAAATATGTTCTCTCTTTAGTATCTTTATCTATGTTACGCATTTTTTACATTTTTATCTTTATTATTATTACAGCAAACATTTACAGAGCACTAAGCATTAGGTATTGTTCTGCAGACTTCATAGGTATTACCTAACTCCAGCCTCACACCAGTTCTAGAAGTAGGCATGATTATTACTACCATTTACCCAAAGGTTAATGAATCTGCAGAAGTTAATACGCTTTGGCAAGTGATGGTGGCAGGATTGTATTCTTTCTGGATCCAGTGAGTTGACTGCAGGACCCACACCTTTATTCCCTCAGTCACTGTCTTTGTGTTTAGTGGTGGATTCTCTAATTACAAAGAAATTTAGAAAATTATTTTTCTATTGGGGAAAGATGAATTTCTCAATTGAGCAATGAATGTGTCATACCCTGCACCTGTCAGCTACCATGAGATAGAAAACAGTTTAGCATACCTCTTTGCTCCCATCACAATCTTCCAGAATGACTGTAGTGTTTTCAATGGAAATGCATTTACCCAAAGCCACATTAATAAGCTAAGAAGCAAAATACAAAACAGGAATTAAAAAACAATTTAAAGTAGAACAAGACATTCAGACACATTTAGAAAATACAGAATATAAAACTATAATAAGGTTAAAAGATAGTTAATAGCTTAACATTACTTAGCACTATCCAGTTTTATTGGTTGCTGTCTCTAACAGAGACATAATGTAATCTTGTAATAGTACAACTTCAATCTGTTAATTTTGGCCTGTGATCAGCCATAGAGCCAACACACAGAAACTTTTAATTAACCCTTGCCTGGAATGCTAAATAACAAATGAGCAAAGGTGGCAAGAAAAGTAGTTATTTTCTGGTCTTAAGTTTATCTAATGCAGATACTGAAAGTCAATGCACATATAAGAGTTATGAGCTATGTTCCCTGACTGACCCCTTCAAGCCTTTTGACTGCTTAAGCACTGAATCATAGATAAATTGAGTCCTTCAAAGAACAGCAGATTCCAGCTGATTCCCTGTCAGAATCTCCTTAATGACTCAAGCGAGCTACAATTCATTATAGGAAAGTCACGAAAGCTAATCTAGAGCCAAGCATAAAGGCACTTTCTGGCAGGCCCCCAGGTTTTTAATGGATTTACAGGGTCAAATATGGAGGTAGCTTTCTTTAAGTCACCATTTATTGCAGAAAAATGTTGATTTCCTTTCCTCCTTTGACATCCTGGGCAGGGCTAACAAGATGATGGGTTAACAGTGCAACTTAGGGTTTTCAGATTTCTAGAACAGCTGTGCAGAGCCGAATCTATATGACATGTCCCGGGAAAGCCTCCTGAGCTGGGAGGAGCTGAAGTCTTTGTTGCCAGGGGCACTATTTGTGCCTTTCCGGTTCTACGATGCCTAACAAAGAGCTCTAACTCAGGGTGCTGCACTGATGGCGGCTGGATGCTTACAGAGTTGCCAGACTTCATAAAAGGGTGCTCAGTACATTGGTCCTCACTTTTACATGCTTAGCTTAGTGGACAAGAAAGTAAAGGACATCTTCAGGGATCAGAATACGCAGAAAAAATTAAAGGCTACAGGGAACCATGCAAAGGTTGGCAAGAAAGACTTGCTCCTTCATATGGATGGAAGAAAAACAGAGGCGTGGGTAAGCCAAAAAGCTGGAATTCAGGTCTTCCACGTAACAGCAGAAAAACAGACCTTCAGTTGAATGCTGCACTAGGAAAAACAATTTGCCCGTTAGCACAGGGAGAAAACAAGGAAGCTGGATTCTCCCTGAGAATCTGAAACTTTACACCAGACTTCATTTGGGTTTGAGATGAATATTTACACCACCTGCTTTGGACAGGAACCATCACAGACTTTCAAGGCATAGAAACAAATGCTAAAAATAGTACCAGGCTGATAATGACTTCTGAGGTGCCTGGCACGGACAGAAACAAAGCAACTATGGAAGGATGGCATCTCTATCAAAAATTCTCAGAGAAAGCTCTATTCGCAATTTAAAATGACAAATATGGGAGGAGACAGCTCGCTGTTAGTAAATGTGGGCATCACAAGGCACAGAAGGATTTAGTGCCCCCCAGTCCCAGTCCTGAACTTCAGGGAGGAAGGTGAATAGAAAGACGTGACAGTAGAATAATCTCGGGGCTTAAAAGAAGGAAAGCATGCTGCAGTTGCTCTCTGTACTTCAGCACAGATAAATATTATATAAGCTCCTATATTTGTGGATCATGCAGAAATATTCTATCTTCAAACAAATTTGGAAAATGCAGGTTTCCACAGAGCTGAACAGGTGGTTCTACTCCAGAACTTCTCAAAATCTTCAGGGTGTGTATGTTCAGCTTGCTGCTCAGAATGTTGTACAAATGTTTCTCAAATGTACTTGACCATGGAACTCTGAGACAGCACAAGTAACATTGGTCAGGACAGTGTTTGAGAACCCCCTGGTTAACTGATATTTGTGTTTATTTTGTATAATCCCTCCAAGAACCGAAAAGCATTGGAAGGAAAGATAAAATTTTCTGTCCCTTACATGCCCCTCTCTCACTTGACCTGAGGATGTTTTTTTTTTCCCTTCTTCTTAGGAATTACCAAGGAAACTATTTAATTGCGGTTTTTGCCACTGAAGGAACTTTTACACCAACCTAATACTTTTCTTCATATAGACATCGTCTCTGAAGTGCTTTGGAATTGTTATTCTTCATTTCATTATTAACCATTTTTAGAATTTTTCCTTTTTACTTAAAAATAATTGATCCATGTTTTTACTGTAAACCATTTTAATCTTTAAAAAAATCAGGCAGTGTATAAATGTCAAATTATCCATGTTGTATTATTTCACTTTCCAATTTAGGAAGTAGATATTCCCCACAATTTATGACAGAATTGTTAAACATTAGGCTATTTGCCAGCAGTTTAATCCAGTGTAAAAATACATTATTGGTGAGATTCTTTTATTAGCTTCAAATATTGTCGTTTCAATAAGAAAATATTTCTTCTTATTACAAAAAACACGAACTTTCACTGGATTTAAATTCCTACACATGGAGGTTGAAAAAAGGGAAACAGAGCTATAGACTCTTTGCCAGCAGTTTAATCCAGTGTAAAAATACATTATTGGTGAGATTATTAGCTTCAAATATTGTTGGTTCAATAAGAAAATATTTGTTCTTATTACAAAACACAAAACTTTCACTGGATTTAAGTATCTACGTGTGAAGGTTGAAAGAAGGGAAACGGAGCAAGATACAAAAAGAAGTTGTGGAGTTTATTTTCTTGGAAATTTCCAAGATTATCTATCTAAAATAATGATCTACTTAATTTGCTCCAAATTACCTGGAGAAAGGTCCTAATTTTTTAAAAATGGTAATAACGCTCCCTGCTGGTTGCTTCAGAAGGGAGCAAACTACATCTTCACTGAAATTTGTTCAAGGAAACAACAAAGGAAAATAGAAGGAATTTGTTAAAATCAGTTTTTAAACTACTTGCTGCATTTTGATATGTTATAGCGGAGACATCAGCAGAAGGCTGTTTCATTAGGAGGGCTCTTCAGAAATTTCGTAGGAACTCACACAAGTTAGCCTACCAGTGGAGCCAAAACGTAGTTTTCTAGTGCCCTCTGGTGGTTAAAGTTCAGTATTACTCTTACTGAGATTGTGCTGTTGGAATGGGAAAAATTACAATAGTGGGAATTCCTTCTTTCTTTCTTTCTTTTTTTTTTTTTTTCCTGCTCAGGGGTTGAAATTAAAAATTGTAAATTTATTTTACAGTTATATTTGACATGTTGTCATTTGAACAGTGTGTATATAAATCCAAACTGTCTGATAAATTACCAGGTTGAGCCACCTAAATTAGCTGCCATTCTATTTGGACCTATAAAAATGGCAATTTTATAATACAGTGCATTACCTAAAAACAGGTCGCATATGCTTATTTATCAGTTGAATTTTGTAAAAAACAGAATCACTGTTTAAGACTAGTTTCTTGTCTTTCATAGCTTTCCTGGATTTCCCTAATACTTTCAAGGGGAGTATTATAATAAGTTTTTGCTATCAGGAGAATTTCCAGATAGAAAGCATGGTATAACCCACTCTCTAGAAGAACTGAAAAAATTTGGCCTAAAAGGGCAGGATAACTAATGGTCACATTTTAAAATAATTTCTTGGATGAAGAAAAAGGAAGCTGAAATAAAACAAAAACACTGGGGATAGTTATAAGTCAAATCAAATGGGAAATAAAAGATTAGAAATAAGCATGAAAGGCAAAGAACCCCAGCTGAAGGCTTGGCTAATCATATTTAAACCCACGTGTCTTACCATCCTCTTCAAATGCAGCTTCACTCCTAGAATGGGTTTGAAATGGCTTTTCCCCAACTTTTCCTCTTCCTTGATGTTTTCTTAGTCTTGTACTCTGGCCACCTTATCTGGCTTAGCTTCTTCCCTTCGGATACTATCTCTCATGTCCTGGAATGTTATCTGCTATTCTCTGATATTTTCTGTAATTTTAAGTCCCTCTTTGAAATCTTTACAAATCCTAATTAAATCTTATCACCCCCTTGCTTAACTCTGCTCAGTAACTTCCCACTACTTTCAGAAGAAAGAAGGAAGCAAGGAAGGAAAGATGGAAAGAAAGAAAGAAAGAAAATCCTTACTTTGGTTACAAGGACCTGTGTGATCTGGCTCCTTCCTTCCTCTTCACCTTCATCTGGCGCCATTCTTCCCTCCACACCCTGACAACAACATTTGCCTTCTTTCCAGTGCTTAGATGGAGAACACTCACCTGCTTGAGGGCTTTACATGACCTTCACCCTCTGCCTAGCACTCTTCTTTAGAGCTTGGCTGACTGACACTTAGTGTTTTAGGCCTGAGTTACAAAGTCTCCTTCTCAGAGAGGATTTCTCTACCACTCTGAGAATTCATCAACTGTGGCCTGCTCCCTAAATGAGAGCTATTATATTTTGTATTTACACTTGACTTGCTTATTTGTTTATAATCTTTCTTCCCTACCCAAATTAAGCTCCACAAGGAAGGGATCAAGTCTGCTTCATTCATCGCCCTGTAATCCAAGTCTGAAATACTCTCAGATCTATGGATATTCAATAGATATCTGTTGAGTTAATCAATGAACATGACCACTTGGTAGCCTTCCTTAAGTTTACCTATATTTGATTCTCAGCTATGCTTTGTCCCATCTATGCTCATACTTGATGTTTGTGATGTAATTATTCATTCTTTCCACACATTTTTGAAAGAGATTTTGTGTTTTGTTTTTATGGAGTAAGATTTTAAATTGTCACTTGAACTTACCACACCACTGGCTCTCACAATGGGAGCCTTTAAGTCAGGAAAGACATTCTCCAAGTACCATTTGAAACTTTTGCACTTCAGTTTCTTTCGCAGCTCCCTTTGCTGGGTGAGGTTGCCAACATCTAGCCCTTGGTCGATGAGGTGGTCTCCATGGCCATAGAACAGCTCCTTATACTCATCCAACCAGACCTCAGCAACCCGCACCAAGTTCCGCTCTACTGTCTTCATCCGGTCTTTGGGGAAAGAATACGGATTGTCATTTCTGAATATATGGCCCACTCGGGAGCAGGGAATGATCTCAATTTCACCACCACACATCCACACCTGGAAGAATTTGATGATAAGCATCAATTATCAAATGATTATCCACAAATCATGGGCACTTAACAATGACAAGAAACCACCTGGCTGGCGACCTTGTTTCCCCCTACCTGAAGTAATACTCAACTTCAAAAATACTTTTGCAATAGAAAATCAAACTCAACAGGCTTATTTAATTTTGTGTATTGCTGTGGATCATTTTAGGATTAGCGAAATGTAGTTTTTTCATTTCCTAACCTGCAATATAAGTTTTTTATTTATTTGTAAATAAATCTTCACAGAATCCCATTTTGTAAAATATGAGTTCTTGTTTTGGTTGAATCAGGGAAAGAAGTGTAGATGTCCATTTGTTCACGTTCCCCTACTCTCATTTTGGGAAAAACCAAAAGGCTTGTGATACACAACTCAAAACCACTTTTCTTGATCAGCAGCTCCAAAATTATACCCTTTTACCTACATACAGAACACCCTCCCAATAGGAAAGCAATTACTTTTTGGACACTCTCTACTACTGCTGTTGCCAAGGCTTTCTCAGAAGTTAATTGGTGATTGTATAATAGATGGTATAAAGTATCCAAAGGAGCTGTACTATGAGCACACCTGACTTGTCGGTGACCTGCTTTAGAGGTATTTTTATGTCCTTCTGTCATTTGTGTTCTCCAAGATGATCCAATACAGATTGAGTCTATTCCTTCCAACATACTAGACAGATGTCCCAGAAGAGTTATTCTGTATCACATATGACTCCCACAGCATTTACTCTGAGTGGCAGAAAGTCATTTCCCCCATATTTACAAGCAGAAATGGTGTTGTGAAAGACTAGGGAATGCTAATAAATTTCACGACAGCAATGGATTCCTCCAAATTCATCTGAGATATGAAAAAATTAATCCAGAGACCCTAAAATTTCTGTGAAATTTCCTCTTAGTGGCAGTCACATATCTGATTATAGTAGTAAAATCAAACCATTTAAATTGATTAACTCATTATTGTAAAGAAAATTTGGGAAACACCTGGTAATACCTTGAATGAGAGCTCCATATTTTCTCCACCCCAAACATCAAGGCCAGGGTCGTATGTTCCAAGTTCAAAAAAGTAACTTTTGTCAATAGAAAATAATCCACCAGCCATGACAGGGCACCTACAAAAAGAAAAGTTTGTTTTTTAAACTTACATTTCATGAAAGTTCGACTTTTAGAGTTGGTCCTCTGTACATTTGTACTGGAGGTAGAAGGCTTTTCAGAATAGCTATCTGATGCAGGGAAGCCCTGGGACAGAGTCACAAATAGGGCTTAAGTGATGCCATCCCTGGATCATGGTGGCAGAGCTTGATTACGTTCAGCAAAGATGCATCCTGGAACCACTATTATTTGCCCTTTATACTGTGACACAAACTGTCCAGGAATGTTATTTTTAACACTTATTCAGGGCTAAGGGAGTATCAGGCACTATTGTAAGTATTATATACATACCAGCCCAGACTTCACAAAAAATCTTGTGAGTGTGTATGATTATTAAGAATCTGCAACACTGGGCCAGGCGCCGTGGCTCAAGCCTGTAATCCCAGCACTTTGGGAAGCTGAGACGGGCAGATCACGAGGTCAGGAGATCCAGACCATCCTGGCTAACCCGGGGAAACCCCGTCTCTACTAAAAAATACAAAAAGAACTAGCCGGGCGAGGTGGCGGGCGCCTGTAGTCCCAGCTACTCGGGAGGCTGAGGCAGGAGAATGGCGTAAACCCG